TAAGAAATAATTACTCTAGAAGACACAATTGGAAATCTCAATATCACAAAGAGACACATTGTGTATTGGAGGCACTTTATCTTATCAATTTGACTATTATACTCTACAACTAAGAATGATCTTTCGTTAGTGGCTCTCGTTATTCTTTCTCTCTCTTTTATTAGTTGCTATTAAGAAAAAAACACAATTTTCTCTTATGTGTCTTCTTGTTTTATACAAGTTTTTTGTTCTCCAACAGATAGAGAAAGTACNGACACATTGTGTATTGGAGGCACTTTATCTTATCAATTTGACTATTATACTCTACAACTAAGAATGATCTTTCGTTAGTGGCTCTCGTTATTCTTTCTCTCTCTTTTATTAGTTGCTATTAAGAAAAAAACACAATTTTCTCTTATGTGTCTTCTTGTTTTATACAAGTTTTTTGTTCTCCAACAGATAGAGAAAGTACAGAATTTTTCACCACTACCACCATAGTAAATCAAGAACCGATTGGACCACCACAAACCTCTATTGCCCTGATTCCTCTCCTATGTAACACAATCTCCATCGTGGCGTCTATGGTGAAGCGTAGAAGCCGTCACTTTATTCAATCTCTCTATCTCCACCTCTAGCTTTTCCTGGAGCAGATCCACTCCCGTAGCCGTGCTCCAGCTCTTCCTCCTTAATCATTGGTGAGTTACACCATGAATCCAAAAACTCCAATGCTTTCTCAATGACTTGCTGTTCCTAATTTCATAAATATATATAACAAATTATTATATGAAGGTTTTTTCTTGTCTAATTTTTAACTTAGTTTGGGAATTAATACATTTTAATGGAGGTGGAGGAGAGAGAGATGATGATGGATGGAATTAAAGTTCTGGGTTTGTCACTTTCAAGAGAAAAAAATCTATGAATGATGTTACTGAAGGGATGAACGGATTGAACCCGATATAAGCGGTGACGGTGGAGCTTGTGGAAAGATGGCAGTGGGTACCTAAGTGGAGGCGGTGTTGGTTATGTAGAAGACAGTGGTGGATTACGTGGTTGTGGTTGATGTCGTGGTGGAAGATGTGAAGGCGAATACACTGGAGACGGTGGTGATTATGTAAAAGACGGTGAGGGGATTGTGTTTGATGTTGTGGTGATGGATGCCGTGGTGGTGGATGTGGATACGGAGATGGTGGTGGAAGATGTGAAAGTGAACACAGTGGAGAAGATGGTGGTGGATGCATGGTTATGGATGTAGTGGTGGTGGATATTGTGGTTGTGGATGTGGTGGCGAAGGATGATGTGGTTACCACCAACAACAATCGCACTAACCATGAGAGCCTCATCCACAACACACATGATAACCCCAATCCGACTACTAACCTTGGGAGTTTCATCACCAGCTCTCATATCTTCCCGGAAAATGCAAAATCATGTTATCTTGTCCACCAATTACTTTGTCCACATGAGTAAGTTCAAGAAGCTGCGGTGGAGATTCAGTGTGGATGAACTCNAACAACAATCGCACTAACCATGAGAGCCTCATCCACAACACACATGATAACCCCAATCCGACTACTAACCTTGGGAGTTTCATCACCAGCTCTCATATCTTCCCGGAAAATGCAAAATCATGTTATCTTGTCCACCAATTACTTTGTCCACATGAGTAAGTTCAAGAAGCTGCGGTGGAGATTCAGTGTGGATGAACTCTTGATTTCCCATGGATGAGCTTGGGATCTGACATGGATGAGCTCGAGGTGTTGGATCTAAGTCTATTATCTCTTCATAGATGGTCAGTGTTGTGGCTGTGGCCAACAGACTTTGCAAGCCAAACTTCTTAGGAGAGAGTGATCAGTGAGAACATGTCTGTGACTGTGGTTTTTCTAGACTTTGACGACTCAAATGAATGGCTTCTCTCCTTTTCCACCGGAGTGAACAACAAAGCAACTCGTTTTTTATTTCTTTCCTCATCAATTTCTTTTCATAGATTGTGTGAGTGTGTATTTTAGCAATGTTCTTTAATTTTGTTTGTGAGATTTTATTTCTGGTTCACCGGATGTATTGTAGTTAATCTCCACGTTTAAATTGAAAAAGACATCCATATCCACAAAACAGCATCCATAATTGTGTATGTCCACAATTTACATGACCACATAACACTCGTCCACGAAAACCAATCGAAAAGAATCAAAAAGTGAAGAACCAGATCTGAAAATAATCAAAAGTCTACCATTGTTGCTCGATCTCTTGTGTGCCGAGACAGAGACGACGATGATGAGCACGACGAGGCTTGAATCCAAGCATGACACCATCAGCAGAGCAAGACAACGAAGATGGTTTTGTGGCCCAAAATAGACGCTACGAGCTTCAGCGGAGGAAAGAGAACTCGAAACAAGTGAATGATGGAGAATAAGAAGCATACACAACTGTTGGTAGGAGTATAGTGGCTGGTGACTGTATCTGAAGAGAAGCCATCAAGTTGCAGTTAAAGGTAAGAAGACCCACAAAGAAGATGAACAGTGAAACATACGATAGAAAAAAAAGTTTCCCAATTTAGAAATACATCAATAACCTAATTATTTTCCTAACTTAACTAATAAAAAGAAAACAACTAGTTCTTTTTGGGCTAACTATACGTGAAATTAAAGGATATAATGTTCAAAAAGTGTCTTTGGTTTCATAAATTGTGTGTTACCAACACAATGTATTCTTTTGAGAAAGAAAAAAGACAAATGTGTCTTTTAAGCTAACTCACTCCAGTCTTAATCTTTGTTGTTATTTATCTCTAAACGCATAACAATATAATGATATGCTTTTAATCTCTTTTTTTTTCTCTGAAATTGCATTACTACTTGAAACTTGTCAAAACCAGACATAACGTGCGCACCAAGAAACCAAAAAACAGAGCCTCAAACTCAGAAACAGAGAGCACAATCCCATGGTGCTGCTGGTGAACCGGAATGATATGCTTTTAGTCATTGTTCAGAAAACTAATTGATTTTTAAAAAAAAAAATGTCACCATATGTACAATGTTAATATATCACACACTAAAACAAGAAAGGGGGAGTGGAACAACATGAGTGAAAGCGACCTTTAGACAGAGAGAGACTCTCTTTATCTCTCTTTATTTTCTCATGTGCCTATGGATATTCATAGCAAAAATTATTAAATTTCTTTAATACTATTGTAGTCTTTTTTTATACACCTTAGTGTATTACTTATGTATTTAATTTAAATAACAGTTTATAGTAAATTTTGGTTCATTAAATAGTTCTAAACAATTTTGTAAAATACAAGTTTGGTATGAGCATAATATATATTCATATATCAATTTATAGTATTCGAAACCTTTCATAAAGTAAAATGTTAATTTCTAGTATTGGAATGCTTTTGTGATATCATGTTGTTTCCATTCTTATGGATCAAAAAATAGTGAAAGATAGATGGGATTTATGTAATTTTGTAAAATTGGAATCTGAAAAATAACTAGAATCGTCTTTGCACCATCTGAGAGATTGATTGTTTTCGGTTTTTAAATTATTTTTTGGTTTCTGTTTCTCTAAAAAGCATTTTACATCCAATCAAGATTTTCAAAAATTGGATTCCCTAAAATATAGGAAACTTAGTTTTTGTAAATAATTGTTTTTAAACATAAAAACTAAAAACCAAGTTTTCATGGTTTTTTTATAAAGTTACGTGGGTTTTTTTATCTTTTACTTTTTATTTGTTATATTTATGCTTCAATATATAAAATGTGACAAAACTAATAAAACTATAAATAAATAAGGTTTAGTAAGAATCATTTGCTTGCTATGGGTATTGTTTATTACACTTCGTGATTCATTCTTTTAGTAAATTTTATATTGTTTTAAAAACAAGGAATTAACTTCTAAGTTAATTTTGTTTTAAAAACAATTTGACCAAAATCATTAATTAAATTTTAGAAAAAGAAAAAAAAGTGTAAATAACTTTTTTTAATTCACAATTAAAGATATATTTATAATTCTATAAAGTTTCCTAAAATTATAAAAATATAATGAAATTTTATGTAGTATGTTTAATAATAAACTAATTGTCAATTTTATATTTTTTAATATATGTGGAATTGAATAGTAATATAAAAATCTAACTATTGATATTTTTTTGTTTATAATATTTGAGTTATATAATATATTAAAAATATAAATATTTTTACTTTGTTAAATTTAACTTATGTACTTTAATTTTTGAATAGTAATGAGAAGAATTAAAATCTAACTATTGATATTTTTTTTGTTTATAATATTTGAAATATAAATATTTTAATTTTGTTAAATTTAACTTATGTATTTTAATTTTTGAATATGTGTGGAATTGAATAGTAATATAAAAATCTAACTATTGATATTTATTAATTATAGAAAAATATATTAATATGTGAACGTAGGGTGAAATATAGTTTTTTAACATATTTTTAATATGTGTAAAAAGTTTAATTTATTTTTTATGAAACAAAGAAAGTATTTTTTTCATAGTAAATAATATTTTATTTAAATTAATAAAATATATTAAAATCTAAAACTAACAAATCTTCATTCAATTTAGAAACTAAAATTACAGAAAAACTACGGATTATTTATTTTTAAAACAAAAATCAAAAGCTAAAAACCAAAATTACCATTCATGTTTTTCTAAAACTAAAATCTACTGCAAAATCAAAAACCAAAAATTAAAAACTAAAAACTAAAAACTGAAAACCAAAAGCTAAAATCTAAAAACCATCCAAACAATCATCACCTAAATTCTTTTATAATACTTTAAGTCACTTTAAGCTACAAGTGTAGTTTTTAGTGGTTATTTACCTTACTATCCCCAGCTAAACATAAGAAGTAGTGGGTTTTCTAATATTTTTATTTTTTGAGTTTAATGTTTTTTAATTTTGAACTGTTGTAAAATTGGAAATCGACGACCACATATTTTCTATCTTCTTTATCTTTTCTCCTTCATAATTATCTATATTAAAACTCTGCTCAGAAAGCATCTTTCTACTCTGTCTACTCATGACATTATATTTGAAGAGCTGAGCGTATCGAAACAGCCGTCGCTGTTGTTTATAAGGAAGCCCAGTACTGTTACGATCTCCAAGGAAAAAATAAATTGTCTAGATATGTTCGATTCTAGCATTGATTAAGCATTTTTTTCTATTTTAAGGTATTGTTGTGATTTAAGTGTGATGAATTTTGCCTGGATAGGGTTTCAGGTGTGCCGTTCCTTGAGAGGAAGAATTGAATCTAGGATGGAAACTTTATTGATAGTGATGATTAGGGATAAGTACCCTGACAGCATTATGATGACATTTTCTGTTTTCCCTTCACCTAAGGTCTCTGATACTGTTGGTAGGGCTTACAATTCGACTTCTCATGTCATTAGTTTGTTGAGAATCATGTAGTACATGATTCTAGACAATGAGGCTGGCTTCAAGACTCTTAAAGTTACAACGCCGAGCTGAAAGTCCTACTAAGCATCATAATTCATTTGTCTGTTGTCTAAATGTTTAGAAAAGTTGATATACTTTGTTAAGATGGTTAACTTGATCTGGTTATTGTTATGCAATATCTAGCTTTGATTGATGATCTATCTATTTATCGCTTATTGTTTTGTTATTGTTCTCACGGCTTGTTTTCTTATGTGTAAGCCTTTTGTGCTTTGTGTAGTTGGCCTCTCATCAGCAGAATAAAATCTTTGAGATATTGTATTCTTTTGTCTATATTACTTTTTTCGGTTAAGTGTGAAATTGTATTGTCTGCTATTTAATATAGTGATTTATGTTCTTTTGTTGTGCTCTTGTTGTGGATGTTTGTTTTTATGTGAATATGTCTTGGAGGTAATTCATGTATGTGTTCTCTCTTTATGCAGTTAGTGACTTTGAACATTTTATTCATGCGACAATGTTTCTTGTCACGTGCTGTGCGAGATTCCCAGTCATCTTAGTCATGTTTTGTGCTAAGATGAATACAAAGAAGTCGACGAGACGAGCAGATGGATATTTGATCCCTAGTATCCACATGTACACTGTTAGAGCATTATCCACATGGCGACTTTCCCAGGACTTTTAGGGATGGACACATGAGACAACGAAGTAACAAACAAGAGGTTATTTAGATGGATGACCTAGTGAAAAGCAAAATATTTGTTTGAGAAATATTTACACATTCACTTATTAAATTCTGTTGTAATCAGAATATGTTTTGATTATAACTCTTTGGGCAAATATAAAATTCTAAATCAAAAATTCTGTTGTAATGAGAATATGTTTTTATTATAACTTTTTGGGCAACACTCTGAATCCTTGCCACTCTATTATATATATGGTGTATGTGTCCAGTTTACGTATATATTAGGTTTGATATGGTACATATGTACCATACACAGATATGTATACGTGATATCCATGAGATGTATTGACAATATCCATGTATACACTTTATATGATATCCATGTGTACACTTTATATTGTCAATACATCTCATGGATATCACATACGGTGTACACATGGATATCATATATAGTGTACACGTTGATATCATTTGAGGTGGACATAGTTTACAGTTTAAATCTACGTCATTTTAAAGCTACACGCATGTACATCATTTCAAAGCTACATGTACATGTACACCATGAGAAAGGAAATGAACCAATTAGCATCCTCAAGACAGTAAAAATCCACAGCAAAGAAAGCTATGTCCTCACTCCCCGAAACAAGCCACGTAGTTAGAAATATAGAAAAAGAAAAGACATTTATCATGCTAATGATCAAATAATGCAACAAGAATTGTAAAACAACCTGAGAATGTCCTTTCAGTCAGTAGCATTTGTACACCTTATCAACCCAAATTGCCAACCCATCATGAGCTGAGGACCCGACCTACATTTAGTAATCAGAGTCACCTTCAGCTCGGCTGAGTCTCACCATGTAATGCTTTTGTCACATACTCTATTTTGTAGTTTATTTACTTATTCTTCTCTCTTCTTTCTGTCTTTCTCTTCTGTAATTTGGTGCTGAAAGTGGAGAGATATAAGGGAAGCGATGGAAATTCACTTTTTTGACAAGGAAAGGAGTAAGAAAGTGTGCTTGTAGTAGATAGTGTCCTATCTAACAATACTAAAAGTTGGATATATCAAAGGAGAGAGTGTCCACCTAAGCCAATTAAATCAACCGATTATAACAGTTTAATTCGCCACATCATACGGTTATATCACTGGGCTGTGCCTATCTCGCCTTGAATGCTGAAACCTAAAGTTTTGTTCTTCCCCGGCTATTACTATTAGCCGTCACGATCAAATTCTCAAATTTTCAGCACTCATCGTTACAGTAACTCACTCTTTAATCTTGCTTTAATGGTTTCGTTCCACCTCCCTCTTTCTCTTTTTATGTAAGCACTCCATCTCATTGTCATTCCAACCCTAATCAAAACTCATGTAGAAACAGCTACATTTACCGCCATGTAATCCACCGGAAAGTCTCCCGTCACCGTTTCTTTCTCCTATTGAAAATGACAAACTCAGAGAGTGGACGATTAGGACCATCTTCGAGAAGGAGGAGATGAAGAATATATTCCTATGTGATGATGACAGTACGAGAAGCAATGTTAACGGCGACAAGAAAAAAACAATTGATGCAACTTCTCTTGGTATGTTGTTTACTGTTTCATTTGATCAAATTTCAATTAAGTTTCAAGTTTTATGTTAGATTGTTGCTTGGTTTATTAAGTTTTCTGATTTTAGTATTGCCCATTTTAATTCTATCGTCAGAGTTTACAAGTTGTCGACCATTTTCCGTCTCTCAATTTTTAAGATCGTATATGCATATGGATATGGACCTTCATCTAGACGTTTCCAACCAAACACTTGAGCAACGTTGAGTGACGAAGCATTTCTCAAACTTTACAGTTTACCATTTCATTTCATCCTTGGTAATATGCATATACCTATTTTTTAGCTATCTCCCTCACCACTTTGTGTGTCTTCTCTACAGTTACGCTTCAGGGAGAGTTGTGCATAAGCATCTTGAAGAATTCATGAGAGAGTGAGGTAAGTTGCTTAGACAAGTTCTTTTTACAAAATTAATTCAGTTCTTGAGTAGGTTTATAGATTGAGACGAGATAAGATCATGGAATGGTTCTCATGATTTTTACAAGTTGCAATATTTGTGTTCAAATTTTCTGCCTTTTTTTGTTTGCTGATACTAATTATCTTTGTGCTCTTTACTTTGGTATTAACTCAGTTATGATTCTTCAGCATTTGGCCTGAGCTTTTCTTCCTCCAGCTCCTAACAGTCTTTTCTTTTCTTTTTTTTATCTTTAAGGGAGGAACAAAGGGCTACCTTCTACTATCGTGAAACTATGGGAGACATGTGTTTTGCAATTGAATAATTGATGTCTATATGGTACGCACAGAAATGAACAACGAGGCATCAACCGGAGACTTCAGAGGCTACCGGTATATACTTTCACATAATACTTCTGTGTTTCTTTTTTCTGAGATATAAATCACACATATCTCTAGAGCGTTACTTACTCTTTAGAAAGGCTAAAGTCTTGAAGGCACACAGGTTAGAAAGAGACCAATTTCTTCTTCTTTGTTTCATTCACATGAGAACCTTAAGTGAAGAAGATCACATATATCAAAGATATCAAGTCTCTTGACATTAAAGGTCAAGACATTTCTTTGTTCTGACTATATAACAAACATGGAATCATTCTTTCGTATTTGTTCAGAATTTGATTGTTATAGAATTACTTATGTTTAATTTTGTCACTCTTTCTTTACCAGGAGCGTTGAGATCACATAAGATGCAATGTTACATATGGTAGCTCAGAAACGTTTCCATGAGCAAATCAAGGTAATGATTTCACCTGCATAGCTGCTAAAACTAACATTTGTTTGCTTTCTAACCAAAAAGAGTGTTAATCCTATTATATCTGATGTTGTGTAATTTATAGGCCCCGGATACAATGGTCCTTGCATTTACAGATTGAAAAACAGGTGGCACCTACATATGATGTTTGAGAAGCAACTAAAGTTACAAGAGACCAAGAGCTCTTCCTCAATGCCTTAACCAAAGCAATGCAACGGGACATTTGCCGCATCTAAATTTGGTTTCAAGACGAACTGTGAACCAACCTGAATCTGCTTTCGTATCAATGAAACTAAGTCCATTTAACCTTCTTTTTTTTCTTTCAATACGAGTACAATTAAGAAAATATTTTATCCTGGAAAAATGACACATATACATAAGAGAATACATGGAAGAACCTATGTATTTTAGATGTCCGTATACTTAGAAGTGATATAGAGCTCAAAAGTTAGGAATGTGTGGAAGTTTCAATTAGAGAAAATTTTGTAGCTTAACATATAAGGTTAATTTCATTTGGCTAAACATGTTAAGTGGGAATTAGTTTAGGTGGTTTGTTGCAACTCAGAGATACAACAACGCCAATTGTGTTATAATAAGTATCTTTTCTTTGCTTTGAAGGTCCTGCAACACAGTACATAGTGAAGATGATTACAGAAACAACTGAAACTTTATATTTATTATGAATATCAAAATAAGTCATTTATTTGTTTAACACATTGTGACATGCATATCTTAACTTAAAAATAATATTAGATTCATTTACTAAAAATGATGGAAGGAAAATTTGATGATTGAAGGAAAAGTTTAAATTTTGTTTAAGTTTTTTTATTAACAACTCAATAAATTTATAACCATTGCGAAATAAACCTACTCCGAAGGAAACATGCATGGATTTGTTGGAATATGTAAGTTTTGTGTGCACTTTACTATAGTGAGCACTTTGCTTCGGTAAAGTTGGAGGTGTCTTTCTTATATTTCTTTAGGAGTGAACATATATAGTCAAGATTGGTTTGTTTGTGAACCAATAGTTAAGCAAATTCATTTAGTTATGGCTTTTAATTCTTCTCATATTTTAAGAGTTCACAATTTGGATAGATTTGGCTGTCTCGGTTTAGTAAATATATTTAGGCTTCACAAACTAAGAGCAACATTACAAAATATAAATATTAAGTTTGTCTTCAGGAAGACCAAAAATTCATTACTATTTATCAGCAAGCAATTGGAACGGTACTTTTATTAAGCCTTAATAAAAAAAAAATAATTAGATCCAGCTCTTTTAAAATTGGGAAATAAACTTTCGGGTTAATAAAGTTTCAAAATAAAATATCTGATAATATGTTATTAGTATCTATATATCGCTATTTATATAAAATGAAGAATTTTTAATAAAGATAAAAAGAGACAGACATTAAAGTATTTTTTAAATAAATGAACAATTAAATCTTTAGTACTATTAGTCAAATTTTCATCCATGTTGATGCTTACTATCCTAAATGTGCTTTAAAATAAAACAACATTTTCGAATTCTGAGCTTTGTTTTATAATTTTTTTTACAATATAGTCACAAAATATATTATTCTTCACTTAAATATAAGTAATAGTATTTTAAATGAATTTAAATTGAAAAAAAAAAAACTGGGCATAGCCCGGAAAAGTCTCTAGTTATGTTAATAATAACTAGAAAACTGCCTTATGGTGTAATACTTTCTTAAATTATTACTAAGTTTCACCATTTTAGCTACAAATATTAGTTTTTCAGAAAATGTGATAAATTTACAAATGATCATATTTTAAATTTGTAAATATAATGTAACTAGGCGATTTTCCTGTGCTCATGCAAGAGTATAAATTTTTTAAAGTAAACATATGATAATAATTGATTACTATTTAACTTTAATTTTAAATTAATTATAATTTGTATGTATCATTTATATTAATAATATTATATTATTTTAATTATATTATATTATAATTTTATATTTGTTATATCTAGTCAATTTTGTTGTTTTTACGGTTGATTTAATTATCATTTGGATAAATTGGATTGCATCTCTGAATTCAACTGTAACATTTTTAAAATATACTATTTTCAATTAATTACTTATTTGCATATAATGGGTGTTGTCTTAGATATGTAAATATATTTTAAGAAAATTATGTATTACTTAAGATATATTGTGTTTAGAATGAATTAAAAATTAACTAAAGTACCTAATTCCAAAATATGTAAATTAGTATAACGATAATATTCTAAAGTCTCATGCATATATATAAATTTTACAAAAAAACCTAAAATTGTAAGATTTGGTTAATATTTATTTTCATTTTTTAATATGTTTTGAGTTATCCTATGATTAATAGAAGGTTACATGCATTGATACATTTTTGGAAGCTCATGAACACATTTCAATATTTACAATAATTAAAATA